AGGAGGAGGAGGAAATTAAAGGAAAAGGAGTAGAATGGAAGAGGAGAAGAAGGGAAGAGAAGAAGGGAAGAGAAGAAGAAAAACATACCGTTCCAACACACATCGACGTGACCGCAATCCGCTTATCCTGGCGCCGGAGTTCTGAAAGGGCTGTAACAACTTGGCGAGCCCCTGTGGCACCGAGGGGATGTCCGAGGGCACTGTATACCTAGGGTCAGCACTTTTCCCCCTCCTCACAAATACGTTTGTATATACTCTCCGCAACATCCTGGATCTGGAAGAAGGGAGGGAAGGGAAGATAACTCACATAGCTCCTCCTCGCGGGTTGACCTTCTCAGGATCAAGTCCCAGTGTCTCAACACAGTAAACGGCCTGCGTCATAAATTTTAGCCATTTACACCTCTTCCCACAGAGCCCAGAGCCCAGAGCCCAGAAACTCACCATACTGGCAAAAGCCTCGTTGATCTCGAAAACATCCACATCCGCCTTCTCCAGCCCGACCTTCTCCAACACTTTCGGGATGGCATAGGCTGGCCCGATTCCCATGATGCGCGGGGCCAATCCCACAACGGTAGACTGCACATATTTGCCCACAATCTTCAAGCCCAGCGCCTGGGCCCTACTCCGCTTCATCAACACGAGCGCCGCCGCGCCGTCGGTGATCTGCGACGCGTTGCCGCCGGTGGTGTGACTGGGCGCCCACTGCGGGAACGCGGCGCGGATCTTGCCCAGCGACTCGGCTGTGGTCCCAGCTCTGATGCCATCGTCGAGAGTGATCGTCTTCGGCCTGGCCTCTCCCGTCTGGGGATCTTTGAAGCTGACCGTCACAGGCACAATCTCATCCCGGGACCAGCCCTCCCTCTGCGCCTCCTCCGCCTTCTGGAAGCTCCTCGCCGCAAAGGCATCCATCTTCTCCCGGCTGATGCCGAAATCCCCCGCGACGTTCTCGCTCGTCTGTCCCATCGGCATCACGTTCTGGCCTGCAATCTCGTGGTTCAAGATCTTCGGGCTGGCGCCCGCGGGAAACCCCCCGTCCGGACACGTAGACATGCTCTCGGCGCCAATCGCCATGCCGATATCGATGCTGCCCGCTATTATCTGGTTGGATATCTGTTGGATGGCGAGGAGGCCGGAGGAACAGAAGCGGTTCGCGACCGAGGCTGCTGCTGTCGTCGGAAAGCCAGCCGCGAGGACGGACGCACGGATTACGTATCCTGGCCCCGGGGCGAGGACGTTGCCCATGCAGATGTCCTCGATCAAGGCTGGGTCGACATTGGATTGTTCGCGGACGGTCTGGCGACATCAATCAGCTTCGTCGCGTGGGAAAGGGAAGAGGTTAATGTTTACCGTAAGGAGCGAGATGAGCAGATCATCGATGTTGGTGTCCTTGAGGCCGCCCTTCCTCGCTTTCGTAAGAGGTGTCCGGACGGCGTATGTGATGACCTGAGGCTGGTGAATATGTGCCGCTCACAATTGAAAAGACAATGACCAGCAGACTTACCACATCATCAGCGTTCTTCTGCAGTACCTTGTTTCTCCTACTGCTCTCAGAGGACAGCGGATTCAGATGCGACAGCACTGACGAGAGACGTTGTCCTGCGGAAGACATATTGTAAAAGTCTGAATACTCCGAAGTCAAGACAGATTGACCAGGACAGATATCAAAGAGATGAAGACATCAGAGGAGAAGTCCTCGGCTTGAGAATTGCCTTTAAAGACCGACTACCGGTACCTATCCGTTCGTCTTGGATGCCGGTGCTTGGGGAGAGGGGCAGACCCACATTGGCGCAAATCCCGGATCCAAACAGCGGCAGACCCTCGAGCCCGAGACCCTGGAAAAAGCATATCTCAGAACATACGTAGTAGTTGTATAACTATAACCGACGGCTCCGAGGTCCAAAGTCATTCTCCGGAATAGCAATTCTCTCCGAATGACATGTAACCCTGCAATCCCTCTGTGGTGATAGATTTGAGTCGCACGTCAATCGATCGAGCAAACCCCTCCGAACAGGCGAGGACAGAGTAAACAAAGGAGAAGAGAGACGCGGGTGAGCAAAAAATGGATTTGGGTACCGGTGCGGTAGCGTCCGCTGTAGCGGTCGCTGCTGGAGCATATCTGAACGCAAGACTCTCGATTGGAACCGATATGAAAAGCTTGAGGCACGACCGCCAATTTGGAGAGCGAGTGGGTGCGAATATCCAGAGGTTGGGCGACACTTGCACGATTTACGCCTTGTTTGACGAGGTAGACGCGACTCTGGAGGCCTTGTGGTTCGAAGGGAAGACTTGGACCTATGGCGAGCTGAAACGAGGTGAGCTCCGAGACTTTGGCTCTTAGTTGCAGCGATGTATCATTGACCCATGATAGATGTTGTGAGACTTGCTGCATTTCTGGAAGCTCAGGGTGTTCAGAGGAACGACTGTGTCGCGCTGTTCACCACCAACTCGCCAGAAATGGTGATTGCCGTTCTGGCACTGTCGAAATTGAGTGCGATTGCTGGATTGGTCAATACTAGTCTTCGAGGTATGAGCACTATTCAAATTCCAAGAATCATACTGACCGGACAGATGCCACGTTGAAGCACTGTTTGGATGTGGCCAATGCCAAAATGATCATCTCGACCCCAGACCTCTCTCAATACCTGGACGGCTCTACGACACATCTCAGTTTGGACCTGGGAACTTTTCGTAACGCACCTGTAACCAGTGACCCTTCAGTACAACTCGTCAGACCAGAAGACCTACCTACACCAACAGTCATCTCCCCTCCGGCGCGAGCAGCACCCACGGACGTAGCAGTTTTGATCTACACGTCCGGTACAACAGGAAAGCCGAAAGCATGCGCAATCCGCAACCAAATGGTGATTTTGGCGAGCACCATGACCTCCGCAGACGCGGAAAACCCCACCAAGTATTTCCCACTCCGGGTCTACTCTCCCTTGCCGCTCTTTCACGGCACGGCCATCTTCACGGCTTTCTGCTACGGCATCGGAACCGCGTCTACCATCTGCCTGGCGAGGAAATTCTCCTCCTCCCGATTTTGGAAGGACGTCCATGAGTGCCAAGCGACGAGGATCTTGTACGTCGGGGAGCTGTGCCGGTACTTGGTGAATTCTCCCCCTGGGCCGTACGACAAGGGGCATCAATGTATCGTTGCAGCTGGCAACGGCCTCCGTGGCGAGATCTGGGAGAAATTCAAAGACCGGTTCGGCGTGCCGGAGATTCGCGAGTTCTATCGCTCCACGGAAGGGCTTGCGAAGTTCGATAATATTGGACGTGGAGCTTGGGGAGCCGGGAAAGTCGGCTTCGCCGGGCCCCTGAGGCGGTACATGGAAGCGGATACGCTGCTTGTCAAGATCGATCCGGAAACCGAGCAGCCGTACAGAGATCCGAAGACTGGCTTCTGTGTCCGGTCGAAGTTGGGAGAACCGGGTGAGGCAATCGGGAGAGTCAAGAACAGAGCCACGTTGACAGAGTATCTGAACAATGCCGGCGCCACCAACGAGAAGCTGCTGCGTGATGTATTCAAGAAAGGCGACATGTGGCAGAAGATGGGGGATCTCATCATCCACGAAGAGACAGGCTGGTTGAGATTCCACGATCGAATGGGCGATACCTTTCGATGGAAGGGCGAGAACGTGAGTGCCGGCGAAGTGAGAGACCACATTGCTCAACTGAGCGGCGTCTTGGACGCGGTCGTATACGGCGTGAAACTCCCGGGGTGAGAATATGACGATCCTTGAATCTCGCCCGGCGGCCTGCTAACGGCAACAGGTACGATGGCACTGCTGGTGCGGCGGCCATCACCCTCGACTCCAGCGCCGACAAAGTCTTCATGCAAGGACTCTACACTGGTCTCAAAACCACCGGGCTCCCAGCTTATGCCATGCCACGACTGGTGCGCATCACGAAAGAGTAAGGACCACCATGAAAGCCTTGTATTGTAGCCCATTTCTGATGGGAAGTGAGCGGGGTGTGTTCAGGGAAGAAAGGAAGAGTGCTGACAGAATTCAGAATCGAAGCAACCGCGACCTTCAAAAAGGCCAAGAATGAGCTGGTCAAGAGGTCGTGGATCCAGAGCGATCCCGAAAACCAGGACAGACTGTACTGGCTAGATGGACAGGCGTACAAGCCTCTAGACGCGGTAGACTGGGGGTTGATAGAGAGTGGTAAGGCGAAACTGTAACCTTCCGCGCTGTCGCGTCACAGGAACTGAGCATCGCTGGACCCGGGTATACATGTAAATAAATATGTATACACCTCAAATTCAAGCCCGGCAAATTGACTGGATTCAACTTTTTAACTAAAAAAAAGGAAAAAAACGGCAAAACTCAACTGGAAGCTCATATACTATCATGAGGTTCCAGTCTACAAACCTAACTGAATAGGTTTTTCGATATCTACGGTCAACTGGCGAGGAGAGGAGTGGCTACAAGCGACTATACGCCACTGAACCACCGCTCCATCTCCGCCAGTTGATGGAAGGTGGTGCGGAATTTGCTTATATGAAGTAGGTAGAATTTTCTTAAGCGGGAGGCGAAGAATACCCGGCTGGAGAGATGGTTGGGGGGGTAAATGACCCCCAAGTTATTATTTCAAATTCGTTTCATCCTGTCCTCTTCTTCCTACTAACTCACTGGTTCTATTCCAATGACCTATTGACGTTTACTTGAGCGTCGACTTGCTATCGCAGAATCTATCGTTGCTTTACATAAAATTTCATCATTTGTTTACAGCGAGACCCTTTCAAAAGACGTCAACAGGGGAATAAAATGATGCAATCTTCGGCACCAGAACCCACGTCAACGGCCGCTGTAAATGTAAACTACGTATCGATACCTTGAAACAACAGTCCAATGTCTTATGCTTCAACACCCATGGTGATGTGAGCGACCATTTCCTTGGTAACGTCTTCTCCTTCCGAAGGATTGACAGTCATGACCGGATCCCAACTGTTGACAATCTCTTCGGCGTAGATGCTTTCTAACTCGAATATTAGCTCCTCTGTCTCACAGCAAACTTTTGGAAAGATCCATGGCTTGCCAATGGCATTAGTAGTACGGTTGATCCAGTGTGCGACCAGTACAGCGACAAGGCCATGGTCTGCTGAGATTGAGGACGCCGATGTCGAGGAAGAGCGGGACACCGGCTCGGCCCTCCACCATATCCTGTCGGAAAGTTTGGGATCTGGGCCAGCTGTAGGGACCAGTAGTGACTTCGGGCAGCAAGATGCAAGTCTCGTTCTGCATAGCGTCGTAGTAAGGGGCCTCAGGGGTGACGACCACCGTGGTGTTCCCGCGGGCAGCAAGCTCGCGTTTCTCGTTGCGTCGAGCCCATCTCTTCTTGTTCCTAGATCGCGGGCGAGTCAGCGATCGCTTGATACGAATGTTTCGAGCAGTTATTCGACAATTCCTTGGGGATCAAACTGCACGGAAAGGGAAAGATCCTGATTCTCTCATGTCTTGTATAGCTGCTGCAGAGCCCCCGCAACGCTTTAAAAGACCAACTCGGCGGGTGATCTCCTTGTAGCCAAGTTGCTCATGGTGTCCTGCTCGATGTGCGAGGATCGCAGGGACGGCGGCACCGAGAAAGGAGAAGGGAGGTGAAATGCATTGTGGGTGAGGCGAGTGAGTGAAGGACCGAGAGATACACTTTGAGCGAAAGTGTGAGGTTAAGGAACTGGAAGGCACTCGAGAAAAGCTGATTCTCGTCCCTTTACTTTTATGAAGAGAATAACCCCAACTCCCCCCCGAATCCATATTCCGTACACCCATCGCAGAGGCCGCGAAAAGCCTATACTCAATCAAGTCCCTATCTAATATCCCGAAGTGGAGGGAGGTAGCCGGGTAGACGTAGCTGGCCCGCCACAATTATTTTCGTCCTTACGGACTATAAAATCGATAGAGATAGAAAATCAGCAACCGATTACATCGTAATTATTTCTACATCAAAAGATACACCGTATCCGTTTTACCAGTAATAATTGTAGATAAATCCGATGATACGTAGTTGTTTCATTGCAGTGCTGAGTTGAAGTAGTAAAAGCGGTCGGTACTTTCGGTGTACCGGTACTTTGTCAAAATTGCCCGGCACAGAGGTCTTGGATCTAGTCTCACCGCCTTCGATAGGTCTACATACTGGAGCATAGGTAGTAGGAAGTACTTTCTGCCAATGAGATAGGTGTACCCAGCCTGGGGCGGTCAGACAAGGCTCAAGGCCTGTTTACCTCCGTAAATACCAGAACAAGCGAGGACCACTGAAAACCAGACTTCCATCAAAAATCCATCACAAATCCATTTTCCATCGACATCACACTACCAACTTCCAATCAGCAGATCCTTCATCTTACAAAATCGCAAAAATTCAATCATTTCCAATTCTTATAGAGCCCAAATCCCTCAAACCAGAAATATGATTATGAAGGTATCCCGATTCAAATCGAACGGGTAGTACTTTGTTGTATTATTCAAGGTGGTTTCTGAATATATTTTCACTCCGTACATCGCAATATTTTGATCTTGCAATAAATGGATATATTTTTATATCTATAATGTATATGTATATATATATTGAATAGCAACTTCTTCTAACCACGTAGCAACCCCTCCTTTGTGTGTGTGTGTGTGTGTGTGTGTGTGTTCCTACTAATAGTCATGGTTTGATATTTGATCTGATGGAATTGTCCCGGGCTGCTTGCTGGTGGTGGTTCCGCCTCGCAAGGCTACCTTGGTCGGATCAAATTTTTTACAAGACTCATTCAAAGGTAAGGTGACCGACGATGAGATCGTGTGTGTGTTTTGGATCCTGCTAATCGAATGGGGAAACTGGATGGAAAGTTATCACCAGTCGGCATGGGGCATGAAATTTTTTTCGGAATTGAGCGCTTTGAAACCAGAGATTACTTTTATTGGTTTTTGTATATATATTCTAGGAACCACAGCGCCAGCCTGTAGAAAGAGTAATATGCAATTATCTTATACGGCACCTAGAGATAGCCCCCCCCCCCCCCTCTTCCCTCTCCTTAAGAGAACCCTACTTATCTTTCTGGCCAGCCGTCTCGACACACTACATATCCGTAGCCGGACGGTCGAAATCCAGCATCACAACGACTTGATCCGGTTTCTGCGGCTCGCACCTGAACTTGACCAACCGCGACGGATCCAGACCGCGATCGTGGGCATTGCCCTGGTGACCGCCCAGGATGGGACCGGTGGGGAGATCTTCGTCGGGTTTGATGTTGTCCTTGCAGAAATCGTAGACTGTGCGGAGGACTAGAAGGTTGGGGGCAACGAATGGTCTTGATCAGCCTTGGACACATACACAGTCATATATATATACTGATGTAGATATATATATATATATATATAGTAGGTCGCCACGAGCTGGCTCGCCTGGCCACATGTGGGTGGAGCGTACATACCCTGCTTAGGAATCTTCTCCGCATAGTGCTCTGCATCCGCACGCCTGGTCAGCGGAAAGGTGAGCTCGATACTGTACTTGACAGCCGGGTCGAGATGCGCATGCGGAGGGGAGAAGCAGTCGTACATGCTGTCCAGGACTGGCGGGAAAGAGAGGTCAGCAGGGTCTAGCTAGGCGACTCGAGAGAGATGGATGGTGGATGATGGGCGATGGATGGCGTGCAATCTATCGGGGCCTTACTTCGCCGTGGAACAACATCCGTCAAATCCGGCCAGCAGGGGTCCGATTCCGTGACGCGGCCTTGGAGGGAAACTGTGTAGCTAGCGGTGAGCTTGGGAGATGATGATGCTTCACGGGGGCGTCGGAGAGGAGAGAGGGTGTCCGTACCATTTTTCATTCGAAGGCTCACATTTCTCAGCTGTCCGGCTTCTGCAGCACTGTTCGAACGTGCGTTTGTCATGTTGCACCTTTTTGGAGCAGCTGAAGATAGGTGAGCGGGCTGAGCAGGAAATGTAGCAGAGTCATCTTCCGTATCTGAAGACGACTCTGTCGTGAGAAAGCTCCCCTCCATAGGACGACTTTTCATGTACCGTCTCTTTTGCTCAGCCTCCAGCTGAGAAAACCTAGTCATCTGACGAAGCTCCGATGCCGTCGTCCATTCCGAAGCAGCAGCATGTCGCGCTTCCGACGAAAGTGATTCGCTGCTGCTGCTGTGCGGGCGCTCAGAGCTGGCGTCCGAAACGCAATGACAGCCAAACTCCCACGCCACCCGGCAGTCGGCCTCCGGGCTGAAGATGAGCTCGATGTAGGCATAGCTGGGATCCCCTCGCGCATAGTGCTTGTCGCAGATGAACCTGGTTTGGAGAACCTCCAGCACTTTTGCGCAGAGTACGCGACGGTCAGTTTCCCGGGGACAAAACAAACAAAACCTCTCTGCGTGAGATTGGTTGCGATCGCGTGAACTCACGTGCGAACATCTCCGGAATCCTCTGCACGTCAAAGTCGCTGGGCAGCGGGTACCTCTCCACGATCGAAGGGTCGGCATTCCGCACCTCGACTTTGAAGTGCGCCTCGGTGCGCCTCGCGTCATCTAGGCCTTCTGCCGCGTAGAATCCCCAGATCTGGGCCAGAACTGAGAGAGGGAGACGTTAGCCCGAAGCCGATATCAATATTTTGATCTTGATATTGAGGCGTACCGTTCTCGGGGATGGCGTCGATGCAAGGAGGGCCTCCGTACAGACTCCAACCGGATCTGCCGGTTGGCTGGATGACGACCGAGACCTGATCTCTCACGGGAGCATTGCTTTGAGCACTCCCTTCCACGCGAAGCTTCGCCAGATTCAGATCAGTCAGTCTATCTGTAGACATGATGAAGTCGATACCGGTATGTCAACATGTATGTATTTGCGAGGGTGTAAATATAACTTATCTGCAGACGATTGAGATGGAGGAGTATATTAGTAGCGCAGCGTGCTGCTAGTAGTATATGGAATGTAATAGGTAGGGTTTCCGAAATCTTCGTACTGCAGGCTTAATAATATTGTCGAAGCTGGGAGTTGTTGTTTGTACGAACCAGCTTGTCGGGTACATTCATTCTATCTGGGATGGGAGCGCGGCTCTTCTTCTTTCTCCGGCCTCCGCTGCCGCAGCAGTTACTCCGTAGATACCGGTAGGTACCGGTAGTAGTAGTATTTGGAAGATTAGGTTTACCCCTATTCGACACTAGACTACCTGAACCTCTCGGCTGTTCCCACATCCCATATTGCTCTCAGCTCTTTACAGAGTACTTACTTTATGTGCTGCTAGAATAGGGAATCGTCGCTTGCATTGCAAATTAATGTAAAACATCTCGACCTGGCACCAAGGCGGGGACACCCAGCAAGGCGGGACAAGTAAAGTTGGCCCTCACTCCGTCTAAAATTGATAGAAAATCAACCAACGATCATCTCGCAATTATTTCTATATGAAAAGAGGCACCCGTACCGAGGCTGAGATTTTTGATGATATGTGTCTACTGGTCATTCTATTCTTGGGCTGGATGCAAGTAGTAAAAAACGGTATCTTTTTGGTGTTGGTACTTTTGCTATACTTTTCAAGCGTTACTGGTCCGTGTACTGATGAGACCTGGCCTGTCCAAAACCTCAACCTTATCAAAATCGCTCGAGTACGAGTGAGTGATCGAGACCTCTACTACCACGCACCACCCTTGATCATCATCCGCTCTCAATTACAGTCGCGATTCTGAGCTTGACGATGGCATGGAGATAAATCAAATGGGGAAGGGAAAGTACAATGGCTGACGATAATCATTGACTGTGTCCGTGTCCGACTTGCAGTGTAAATACTCGAATAAGCGAGGAACACGAAAATCGGATACCCTTTCAGAATACCTTTTCTACACTATCAAATTTCTTTCAGTAATTACTTCCTGTCCAAACATACTAGATTCGATCATTTCATTCCCATCTATAGGACGGTTCTCTCGATTGGATTCAAGGTAGCCGACGATTATACCGAAGAATACTCAAATCCTTCAAACAAGTCAATAAATAAATAGTTTACTTTCCCCACATCGGAAGCTCAACCTCTTTCGTTCTGCCCTTGTACAGAGTACCTGATTACATACTATCAGCAACACCAGGCGGTGAGAAGTATATACCTATCCTCCCTCGATCAGCAATCTACAGAACCGAGTCCACCGAGTCCGCCCGTCCCAAGACTGTACGCTTCTCGTAAATAGAATTAGAAATATAATAAAAAGATATAGTTGATCCGCGATATATATTTTAAATATCTAGCTCCTACGAGAGGAAAAAAAGAAAAGGAGATACACAACCAGATCCCATTCTTCTGCCCCTTTCGGTATATATACAATCACGTTACTAGACTCTAGACAACCCTAATATCCTGGATCCAGAACACGAGGCTAGGTGGCTTCTCCTCTAGAATTCGTATACAGGCAGTAATGCTCAATCCTCTCGCTCAGGGGAGTTTCGAATTTCAACCAGACTTTGACTTTAACTTTTGCGAAGAGTATCGCTGCCGCGAATCAACTCAACGCGAGTACTTACCAGAAGCCCGTCGGCTGGACATGGCGATGAACTACTCTGAGGAGATGCAGAATGGTTAACTGTCGAACGCTGGCGTAGCGATTGTTGATTTGAGCATGATGTGAGAAAAGGGGGGGGGGGTTTCCCCGGAGAGCGGCTCCGAAGAGGTGGCTGGGTCAGAGGTAAAGGAAAACTCTCATGTTGGAAGGATATGCGGGAATAGCTTCATGAGGGCTTACGTGGAGCTTGGGCTTGAGCGACTTGCAGGGGAAGTAAGTCGCTATGTTACGAGAATGTGGTCTGAGGTGAATGAATGCTGACAGACCCAAGCTTCGACGTGAAGCTTTGCAAATGGAGTGGGATAGATGTGGATGGGGTGATTGGTGCTCGCTGCCGTAGTATTGTATGGAAGAAAGCACCGTTGATAGCGGGGATAAACTGGTTTCGGCATTGAATGGGAGAAGAGCGTCTCCAGGTCTCGCTTAGAACCTGTCAACGGCCAGATAGATGGCGACAATCTGGAATAGTAGAATGGAGAGACTAGAAAACATGCTGGCTACTGATATCGCTAAATTATTCTAGGAACGGTGTGACAGGCTAGCTGTCGTTCTAGAAAGTGGAAAGAAATCACTGGCGATGAAATGTGAACTGAACAGAGGAAGCAACAGCATCTGGAAGGCGCAGTTTAGGTCAAAAGGAGATTTCTCCCGAATGACCATCAAGCCCTACTCAGTTAATTTGAGGCATCAAATTAGCCGCAACGTCAAGATGGCAAGAAGAGCTGCCTGCCCCTTTCGAAAAGATCGGTCAGATAAGATGGGAAAGGATGACGACGTCCAAGGAGCCGACTAAAGAGTAGAAACACGCTTTGACTGCGATGGAACTTATCGCTTGTGATTTGACCTCGGCCTTTGTACAGAATGTCAGAATATCTCGTATCATTTGACATGCTGCACCGTCGTCGCGATATCATCAAACAAGAATGCGATGCGGATTGCCATAGGTACAGGCTGCTCGTCTACCTCTGGAGAAGTAAAATCGAAAGGCCAGCCCATAGCTACCCACCGTGTGAAAAAATACATGCAAATTTCATAGAGAAGATGCTCAGTATATGGAGGGTCTTAACGAGTCTCAACGAAACACGCTCGGTGCGATCGGTGGTGCCAGCAGTGGCAGCGCTTTGACAACTTGACTCCTATGAAGTCATCGCATCATTCTTCGCGTCATCTTATCCAGAAAATCACCCAAAGGCTCAATCGGCTTTCGCCCCCCTCCGATTGTGGGATGGGTCTTGTCTTCGACTCTGGCCTCTTCCCCGGCCACTTGCTGCTTGAAACATATCGTGATGATAGTTCTGGCCGGCCTCGATGTTTCTCAAGAGGCTCCCCGTGCATCGACCCCGGTGGCTGAAACCTGTGCAATGCAATGCGGGCAAAGGTCCGAGGCGCTGAAGCGAAGCAGTCCGGGGTTGGGGGGGGGGGGGGAGAATGCGGAGGAGGAGGTGGTGGTGGTGGTGGTGGATGAAGTTGTGAAGCTGCACATCCACCCAGAGTCCTGAGTCCGGACGGACGGAATCGAATAGAGGGTATCTCAATGATCGGGCGTGGTGAGGTATCAGTGTTGAGATATCAGATCTTGAAAGTTGAGCGGAAGTCCTGGTGTTGCAACTCGCAGCCCGGACTCCGGATCTGCGGTGGTCTCATTAGCGCCTTGGCATCCCGACTCGCGGGGTCGTCTCTCTAATCTTCTCATCCTCTCAACTTCTCAACTTCTCAATTTCTCCATCATACGGACATCCGACGCTCTCACGGACAGCCACCAACAACACGCGAATATGGACTGCGCGGATCCCACACCGATACAGACACACACACACAGACACAGACACAGACACAGACAATGTCCATTCCATTATTTCCATCTCGGACGCACGAACAACGCGAAGGCGCGGAGAGGCACATGTCCGAATCCTGGGCTTGTGCGGATACTTAGTGGGAGGCCGTTGACAGCGGGAGGAGACTGTGTACATATAAGAGAACGACTATCCAGCCTTGATGCTATCATAATATAGCAATTTATAGCTAAACACCTTCTCTATTCCTACATTCTCTACGAAGATACCCAGACATTTCGTCACTCAGCATCGCACTCTTCTCAACAGAGCTTTTGCATACTCACTTCACTATGGCATCTAACGTAGAAGCAACAAATGGATCAACCAACGGCAGTGGCAATGTAGATGCTACTACTGCTACTGCTCCTCCCGGCATGGCGAATGTTCCTGGCCCCTTGGGTCTCGGATCCGCCAGTCTCGCAGGAAAGGTCGCCCTCGTAACCGGCTCAGGTAAGTAAGCGTACTCGCTTTTCTCTTCCCATTACCTGAAGGCAATTCTAACATGGGCAACAGGACGTGGAATCGGTCGTGAAATGGCCCTCGAGCTCGGACGTCGCGGCGCAAAGATTGTCGTCAACTACGCGCACGCATCTGAAGCCGCCACCGAAGTCGTCTCCCAGGTCATCGCATCCGGCAGCGAGGCCATCGCCATCCAGGGCAACGTCTCCGTCGTCAAGGACATCGTCTCCTTGTTCGCCCAAGCCAAGGCGCACTTCGGCCACATCGACATTGTGTGCTCCAACTCGGGCGTCGTGTCCTTCGGCCACATTGGCGATGTCACGGAAGAGGAGTACGACCGTGTCATGAACATCAACACGCGAGGACAGTTCTTCGTAGCGCGCGAGGCCTACAGAAACCTGAGCGTCGGAGGTAGATTGATCATGATGGGCAGCATCACGGGCCAGGCCAAGGGCGTGCCGAGGCACACCTTGTACTCCGGCAGCAAAGGCGCCATCGAGACCTTTGTGAGGTGTATGGCAATCGATATGGGCGATAAGAAGATAACCGTGAACTGCATCGCGCCGGGTGGCATCAAGACCGACATGTATCACAAGGTGTGCAGGGAGTACATCCCCGGTGGAGACAAGCTGAACGACGACCAAGTCGACGAGGTAAGCTCCTCATTCTTCCTTCCCTACCCTTATTTTATCCCTCTCCCCTACCCGAAACCTTGAAACAAGAAACTAACGTACCGCACAGTATGCGTGCACATGGTCCCCGCTCCACAGAGTCGGTCTCCCCATCGACATTGCGCGCGTCGTCTGCTTCCTCGCGAGCCAGGACGGCGAGTGGATCAACGGCAAGGTGTTGGGTATCGACGGCGGCGCCTGCATGTAAAGTGCTTACATGTGGAAGCGCTCGGTGCATACCACAGCAAATGGCAGTAATCGGTTTGACTGATTGATCGATTGGGTAATGGATGAACGGGTAATGATCGGGGGAGTAAATGGAAATCGACGGCGCTGCGAGAAATGAAGGGTTTTTCGCAGTAAATGGTGATTGGCTTGTAACTAGTCTTACTTACCGATTTAAATGAGAATTTGTAAATTTTCAAATCTAGGTACTTTTTCTTTATATTTTTTTCGCCTTTCTATGTTTAATTTTGTATATGGAGTTATGGACAAGAAGTAGAAGAAGAAGGTGATAAGTAGCCTTACAGGCTGACTCATTTATTGATCAACTAATCAACATGTGTTGTGCAAAAGCAGACCTGCAATGCACGTAGCAGTAACTAACTAGTATCATAACCCTATACCCCGCACGACAGTATGTCATTCCTATCCATCAATCATACCATTCGGCACTCATGATGTAAACAAAGGACAGAAACGGGGCTTAAAAACAAGCAAGCAAGCAGGGAAGCAAAATAAATAGATACGGAATTACCTTTTTTTTTTTTTTTTTTTAAGTTAAGAACCTGAACTCCCCTCCCTTCCCTCTCTGTATTCAGCATAGAAGAG